TCGGAACACACCGAGCAAGACACTTCTTCACGGAGATTATGGAGGAACGTTTTGATATCCATGTTGTCTTTAGAAACAAGCGAGCGAAGCAAGGTCTTCGTGGTGGAATACAACTCCAAACAATGAAGTCTTGTGACTTTCTATTTTTAGCTTTTCTAAGAATCCTGACTGTTTATTATGATATTCTTTTTCATTGTAAGAACCAATCAGGAACTTTGTTTTTTAATAGATGTTCTTCGGTTTCTGATTTCATGGAATGCAACCAAGCTACACCCAGTTTCGCTGACAGGTGTACAAAAGCCACTGAAAGCCATCCTAGGGCGACGATCTCGTCAAAGAGTCCATGCAGAACGAAGATTCATAAACACAATATAAATTTACTAATTAAAGTTGGATGTTATAATTTACATGTTCGAAGTGACGAAGATAGGATTCTAGTCTGCCACACAGTCTTGTCTTGAAGTGGGCTGGGGTTCTGGAGGACAATAGCACATAGCTTGCAAAAGTGAAACTAAGTACCACCCCCCAGGTCAAGACACAACATGCCATGATGAGCGGTGACCCACTCGGGGTATCTTACAAGGCTCGTTAACTACTGGTACGAAAGGCAGAAAGTAAACACAGACAGACAGCAACCTACAGGTAAAATCAACGTTATGCCCGATGGAAGGCGGAGGTGCCAGGAGCCCATCACCATCAAGTGATGGGCTCCTGGAGGTGCCAGATGTGGAACATTTGACTGGCCCTGGGGTAAGGTAAGCAAAGTCTGTACTGACGAGTCAATTAGCCCATCAGGCCGGTGTTTATCCCGGTTTCTGTAGCATGAAGTCACTAGGAGTATTTCTAACTCCCCCCTCGATGGGATTGTAGTCCATCGCAGGGTTACCCCCAGAATCAAAATCGTCGGTACTCACTTGTACGCCTGTCTTGCTCAATGTCCCCGGCCAGACTCGAACTCGGGAGCACTCGATGTTAAGTGGACCATGAGGCACCAGGTCTCCCACTTGCTCTAAGACGTCTCAAAATAAGTGAAATCGATAATTTTACAATAACTGTCTAATTTTTCGCGCGCTGATTGGCTCATTTGTTTCATCAATAGGAGTCCAGACAGATAAAATGTTAATTTATGCAAGCTTTCAAGTTCAACTTTCAGCCGTCAAACTGTCAACTTGTTAACCAATGA